CTTGACAGTTGGGAGTTGTAATTGCTAGATTTATAGTTCACCTACAATCAAAGAGCATTCTGAACCCCACAAATGATAGAATTGGTCCAAACCTCCCACACAGAACCCTCACAACCAACAGAAAATACTGTGTTTTCTTATTGTCTTTGGTGACCGCACTGACACCCCTCACGACCCCCCCCCCCCCCCCCCCCCGGGTCCCAACCTCTAGGTTGGGAAACACTGTGCTAGTGTAAACCAATACTATTATATAGGGTCCCATTGTGCTTCCAAAAATAATGGTGATAGAACCTCATAGAATCGTAGATTTGGAAGAGACCCCAAAGGCCTCTTCCAACCCCCTGCTTTGCAAGAACACACAATCAAAGCACTCCTGACAGATGACCATTGAGACTCTGCTTGAAAACCTCTAGAGAAGAAGACCCCACCAAACTCTTTGGCAGTATCTTTAACTGTCAAACAGGTCTTACCATCAGGAAGATCTTCCCAATGTCAGGTGGAATATATTGTCCTGTAGTTTAGATCTGCTGCTTCCTGCCCTAGTCTGTAGAGCAGAAGGGAACAAGCTTGCCCTCTCCTCAATGGGACATCCTTTCAAGTAGTTAAACATGGCTCTCATGTCCCCCCTCATCCTTCTTTTCTCCAAGCGAAACATACTCAGCTTCCTTAGCCATTCCTCATTGGGCTTGGTTTTCTTCTTAGCCATTACAGACTATACACTCATTTGTTCAATAGGAATGATTGCCACATACTCAGGCTCCTTCGACACTGCCATATAATCCATATTATCAAAGCAGATAATCCACATCTGCTTTGAACTGGATTATATGAGTCTACACCGCCATATAATCCAGTTCAAAGAAGATAATCTGGATCATATTTGGCAGTGTAGGAGGGGCTTCATTTATGAATAATAAAATCTGCAAAAGTGGAATCCACAAATGTGGAGGGCCAACTGTATCAAAAATTTACAAACAGCAGAAGAAATTATTTGATTTGAGCACTGACCAAGGGATATGTCTTGATAATATTTGTTTGTGGGCCTAGCTCTACCAGTGACTATGCTTGCTTACTTACTGAGGTGATCCCTCATAGCTCGAGGATGATGGTCCTCCAAGTGTAGTGTCTTGACGGTGGGTCCGTTGTGGAGCCCTATTCTTGATCCACATGTTCTCCCGCAGTGAGGACATCAGTTTCCAAGTGGAAGGTGGTCCCGGTCAGGGTTGGCTTGATGCTTGATGCATGTTTCTCCCTTTCGTTCTCCATTCATGCCTCTTCAAATTCTGCAGCACTGCTGGTCACATCTGACCTCCAGTTAGAGCACACAAGGGCCAGGGCTTCTCAGTTCTCAGTGTCTATGCTGCAGTTTTTAAGGTTGGCTTAAGCCCATTTTAAAGTCTCTTTTCCTGACAACCAACATTCTGTTTCCTGTTTTTGAGTTGGGAATATAGTAACTGCTTTGGGAGACAGTGATCGGGCATTTGGACATGACCAGTCCAGCAGAGTTGATGGCATAGGAACATCAGTGCTGATGGTATTTGCTTCTTCTAGTACGCGGACATTTTTCCGCCTGTCTTCTCAAGAGATATGCAATATTTTCTGGAGGCAACACTGATGGAATCGTTTCAGGAGTTGAGTGTGACGTCTGTAGACAGTCCACATTTTACAGGCGTATAGCAGGCTTGGGAGGGCAATAGCTTTATAAACAAGCACCTTGGTGCCTCTACAAATGTTCTGATCCTCAAACACTCTCTGCTTCATTCAGAAAAATGCTGCACTTGCAGAGCTCAGGTGGTGTTGTATTTCAGAGTCAAAGTTGACTTCTGTGGAGAGGTGGCTGCCAAGGGAAAGGAAATGGTCAACATTTTCTAATGTTACACCATTAAGCTGTATTTCTGGCATTGCAAAGGGATTGGTTGGTGACTGCTGGAAGAGCACTTTGGTTTTCTCAGTGTTTGGTGAGAGGCCGAGCTGCTTGTATTCTGCAAAGGTGTTTAGAATGACTTGTAAGTATGAGAGGATATTGAACCCCATCAGAAAAGAACTAAAATGCTGTGTTGCTGAGGACCATCTGTTACATCATTTACCATCAATAAAACTTATGCTACAGCCATAGTATATTTCAAAGCAAAGGAGTTATTGGAAAGGCCTGAACCTACACTTTGCTCTGCCAGAAGATCCAACTCTTGGGACCTTCAAAGGCAGACAATTTGCTTTTTGGAGGACAAAAAAGCCAGTACTTCTGGGTGTTTTTCAGGCTTCACAAACAGCCTGAATGGCTTTTCCAAATGGCTCCAGAGATTGCACTATGAGCACCCAACTTTAAACATACCATAAGTGGCCAAATTATAAATTTCAAGGACTGTATTTTTAATGTATTGTTGAAGGCTTTCATGTGTTGTTGTAGGTTGTTTTGGGCTGTATGGCCATCTTCTAGAAGCATTCTCTCCTGATGTTTCGCCTTCATCTGTAGCAAGCATCCTCAGAAGTTGTGAGGTTTGTTGGAAACTAGATGGCCAATTGAAACATTCACACCTAGCTCCAACAGACAATTCTTTCTTCCACCCTGGACCTTCCACAGATGTTTTTTGGGAAATTTTCCCAATTTCTTGAAAAACCTACAACAACCCGATTGTATTTTTAAAAAAACATTTCATGAGTGAGTCAAACTCTCCCACTGTCTAAGTTTCTATGCATTGTGTCTGTTATTTGGAATAGGATATTGTTGTCATCTCGATAGATGCTAAAAAGTATAAGGTATATGCTGATGTGGCCCTAGGTAATTTTCAATGGTAAGCAAACAGTATTTTGCCCCCCCCCCCCCCCCAACCAATCACTGATATATATTTTCTGTTCATCATGGGAGTTCTGTGTGCCATATTTGGTTCAATTCCATCATTGGTGGAGTTCTTTGATTGTAGGTGAACTATACATCCCAGTAACTACAACTCGCATATGTCAAGGTCTATTTTCCCCCAAGAGCGCCTCAAGAGCGCCCCTGGGCAAAATCAACTATACTGCAAATGCTTACTTTGCAGTATAGTTATTTGCGTAATGGGTTGAGCCGCCTCTGGGTATATGCTATCCATCTTATGCATTGATTTCGGTAGAGGAGTCAATCATATCCTAGAATCATAGAAGCATAGAATCATAGAGTTGGAAGAGACCTTGTGAGCCATCCAGTGAGTTCAAAAAGAACTCACTGGATTTCTGCCCCTCTTTTCTGCAGAAAGAAAACACTTTCTTTCTGTTCTGTGTACCACTGTAAATCCTGTTATGCCCAGGCATCTACAAACTGGCATGCTGCAACTTTCTATTGCACCTGTTTCCCTTTCAAAAGACGTTATGATTTGGACACTGGCTCATTTCCAAAGACCCAACCCACACCTGTGGTTAAATGTAGGCCTCTTTTCTGAAGAAAGGTGTGTAGACACTGAAACCACAGAAGGGCACTTTCACAAGCTTTTGTAACAAGTTTGGAAATCTGGCAGAAATAATGACACAGTTGATGGTTCAGTATCAACATTAAGAGGCATGTGAAAACCTTTGACATGGGCAAACTGAAGGAGAGAAACTACTTCCAAAAGACTTCTACATACTTGGAAATTGTCGCAACAAATGAACACAAAGCAACCATTGTGCTTCATGGTATACATGGGAGATATGTAGTCACCATAGCTAGGATTTGAGAAGCTGCCTTCTTCCTGGAGGCAATATTCCTAGTATTTTTGGCTCTGACAGCTGATCCAGGGTCTCAGATCTTGTTGACTTTGTATAATTCATTGTAGCACTTTGATGCTACTTTAAAAGTGCCATGGCTGTATCCTCTGTAATCCTGGGGTTTGTAATTTGGTGAGGCCCAAAAGGTCTCTGTCAAAAACCTCAAAAGCTGCAATTCCCAGGAGTCTTGCCAAGGCATAATGTGAGTTATTTGACACTACTATACTTGTACAGTTATTCCCTGCTTTTCAATGAACCATTTTTGGATGTTTTGCCGTTTCCACAAATCTAAATTTTAGCCATTTTTCTGCACCTTTGACCCTTAATCGGGTCTTTTGACAACTGCTGCTGCTTTTTCGGCATGATGTTTTTTCTGTTTCTTAGTTGACTTGATGACATTTAGTGTTTAATCTTGTATTTGCACATTTAAAAAACCCCCACAGGTTCCACTTTTCAACCAATTCCATTTTCCAACAGTGGTTCAGTAACCCATTAGATAAGTGGAGGCTTCCCATCTTTCAGTTCTTAACAGCAATATGGAAAAAATAATACTTGCAAACACATCTTTAAATGTTGGTTCATAGGTAATTGGGGCCCTTCCACACAGCCATATAAGACAGAATATTAAAGCAGAAAATCCCACAATATCTGCTTTGAACTGTGTTATCTGAGTCCACACTGCCATATATTCCAATTCAAATCAGATAATGTGGGATTTTATTTAGCTGTGTGGAAGAGGCCCCAGATGGCACTATCCACATCTTGAGGAGTTATTTGTCAGACGTAAGGAAAATCAAAAATACTTATGAGTGGAAAACCCTGAAAATGGGGATCCATAATACAGCCCAATGAAAACTGAACATTGAAGTGGGCATGGGATGCTCCTTGTTACCAAGGGATGGAAAGGAATATGACCAATTTGATTAGAAACATAGATGAAGGGTATGCCTCACTTCTTTAGTTAATATTAATATTCTTGTTGTGGTGGTGCAATAATGGTAATTCCATTCTAGATACATAAGAATTCTGGTACATATCACTTTAAGAGAAGGTATTTTATTACATGAAGCTGCAAGAAGAAAGAATTCAGGAAGAGTTTTCAGTCATAAAGGAGAAAAAAAATAATTTTAGTGTCCGCATTTTCCCTCTGCAGTGCCATATTAGGTTTTCAGCCAAAATTCAAAGGCACACATAGAAATTGGAAAGGTAGTATAAGTGCAAAACCTGATAGTTATACAACACCTCCAAACTCACAGAACTCAACAATATTAGCAAATAGTATTAGCAAATAGTATCTCCTAGTGATGGGGAGATATTGGAAATATAGAGATTTATTTATACATAAATGTATGTACTTTACAAGCACTGAAATGTATAGAAAAATCAGGTTCTCTTTCTGTATTAGAAAGAATGTTAAAGGAGATCTGTCTCCAAGGCACGGCCAGGAGGGGGATGAACATTCAAGGAAGGGGGGAGATAAGCCCGCCCTAGTACCAACAGAGATAAGTAAAAAGTAAGGAGCCCATCACCTTCCCTCCTGACGGGTCAAAGTAGTCCCCTTGATTGATGGATGTAAGCTGTAAACTGCTCTTTAGAAAAAATATAGACATGCCTCTTGTATGTTGGAAGATATAATTTGATATTTCTATTATGCTAAAGTGATGCATTGAATGATGTCAATGTATGTAGAGGCATGTTTCTTTGTTTGCCTGCATTTGTAGAGGTATAAAAGGCACAATCAATGCCTTTATCCTCACTCTGGTTGCTTTTGGACACAGCTCCACTCCAGAGTCCCAGATGGAAATAAAGCCGTACTTTTCTTTCTCCGAAAAGGATCTCTTTTGGTATTATCTCTCCTATCTGCTGCAACACTAGAAATTCAGTTCATCTCTGTTTCTTCACAAAATGAACATATATCTTTTGCCCAATCACATAGCCGTGACATCATGTTACTACTAGAAGAAACAAAAAACAGCCCGATATTCCAAATGGAAATCATTTGTGTTTTTAGTAGAGAAGTAAACAAATTTGTAAATATAATGTTGAAAGCTTTCATAGTCTTTCATGGTTTTTTGGGCTGTATGGCCATGTTCCAGTAGCATTATCTCCTGACATTTCACCTATATCTTCAGAAGTTTTTTCAGAGGTCTGTGGGAATGAGGCAAGTGGGGTGTATATATATCTATAGTGTGTCTAGGGTGGAAGAAAGAACTCTTTCTTTGAAGCAAGTGTGAATGTTGCAGATAGCCAGCATGATTAGCATTGAGTAGCCTTGCAGCTGCAAATTCTGGCTGTTGCTGCCTGGGGGCATCCTTTGTTTGAGATGTGTTAACTGTCCCTTGCTCAGCCCTATGATAGTTGACATGCCCATTCTGTAGTCCTGGCCATAGGTTTTGATGACCTTATCTGATGGAGTTATAATTGCAACTGGTTAATTTTTTTATTGTTGTGTTTTAGCAGGATTTTTGAGTTTATGATTTTTTTTAATCTGTTTGTATGATATTCTTATTGGCAATTGAATGTTTTGCCTTATATGTTGGAAACCGCCCTGAGTTTCTTCGGGGAGATAGGGCTGTATACAAATAAGGTTTTATTATTATTTATTAATTACCCTTTGATTGCTTGTTGTGTGGAGTTATCCTCTTTCTCAGTGGTATTCTTTATTTACTGTTTTGATTCTGGTGTTTTTAATGGCCATACAGCCCAAAAAACTCACAGCAACCCACAAATTTGTAAATGGTTTATATCACTTTCAGTGAGAGGAGTCCCCGATGGCGCAATGGGTTAAACCCTTGTGAAGACCCAAAGATCAGTGGTTCTAATCTGGGGAGAGCAGGTTGAGCTCCCTCTGACAGCTTCAGCTTCCCATGCGGGGACATAAGAGAAGCCTCCCACAAGGATGGTAAAACATCAAAACATCTGTTGCTCAGGCAGAAAAACAACATCCGGGTGTCCCCTGGGTAGTGTCCTTGAAGACGGCCAATTCTCTCACACCAGAAGCGACTTGCAGTTTCTCAAGTCGCTCCTGACCCACGCAAAAAATCACCTTCCGTATCATAGTTTTTTTCCTCAAGTTCATGGAACTACTATAATTTGTTGTGTATACTATCAATTCTTAATGAGCAATCAATTCCCTTTACCTTTGCCTGCCTTATACCTGAGTTCTCTGGGAGCTGGGAAATATATATACTAGTTAAAGGATGAATTTATCTTGGAAGTGAAGTGAGGTTGACATTTAAAAAAAGATACCCAATAGGTAACTCTTACATTACTTGATGTAACAGCATTTGATGGCACAAATCACCAAAGAACAAGCATGAGAAAGCATGTAATTTGCTAGAGAGAGAAGTGATAATTTGGCAGTACCAAAATACAACTGAAATGTGCACATGTACTAAGAGTATGTATGGAAAGTAAGTCTAAATTGGCTTTAAATGTAGTATCCCAAACTGATCACATGGGTAAACAGTGATTCCACAGATACTCCCTCCTAAAGAGGAGCTTTGAAGTGAACCGGCTCCCCATTAATACAAGCCACCCGAACGCGCTGAGTGGTAATTCTGCCTCGGTAGTTACACGGGGGACCCTGGGAACCTCCAGCAATGCGGCAAGCAGTGATGGGAAAGGAGGTGGTGCTGTCATAGTAATTCTCACTGTAGTAGGTCCCTCCATTACTGCAGATGGCATCTACCTCCGAGTGTGCTCCATGGATGAAGGTGTTGGAGGGTTTGCAAACTGTGGCAGTCATCCCACGTCTTTGCATCATCAGGTTGCAGTAGCGCCGAGCATCCAGCTCACTGTTGGTCTTGGGGAAGTCGACGTGCTGCCGGAGGAACTTGTCATGACGGCTTTCCCTTTGGGTCAAAGCTGGCATAGGTCCCAGCAAAACCAGCAGGAGCAGCAATGCCGACCAGGGGGCACTTTGAGCCATGGTATCAATGCTGCCTATGGGAGTCAAAACAGAAAGATTTGTTAGAAATTTGCCAGGAATCGAAGGGCACCCTGGTGGTGCAGTGGGTTGAACTGCTGAACTGCTGAACTTGCTGACTGAAAAGTTGGTGGTTCGAATCCAGAGAGCAGGGTGAGCCCCAGCTTCTGCCAACCTAGCAGTTTGAAGGCATGCAAATATGAGTAGATCAATAGGTACTGCTTCGGTGTAAAGGTAACGGTACTCTATGCAGTCATGCCAGCCACATAACCTTGGAGATGTCTATGGACAATGCTGGTTCTTCGACTTAGAAATGGAGATGAACACCAACCCCCAGAGTCGGAAATGACTAAACTTAATATCAGGGAAACCTTTCCCTTTACTTTACCAGGAATTGTCTGCCTAACTTGCAATAATTTCTTCCAGGCAGTAAGAGGCCACACCTTGAAAAATTCATACCTACCTCCAACAGACAAGAGTTCTTTCTCCCACCCTGGACATTCCACAGATCTATAAACCCAATTTTCCTAGTTTCCAACAGACCTCACAACCTCTGAGGATGCCTGCCACAGATGCAAGTGAAACATCAGGAGAGACTGCTTCTGGAACATAGCCATACAGCCCAGAAAATTTAAAGCAACCCATGAAAGCCTTTGACAATACAAACAAACAAACAGTTTGGTTATAGCCTTTTTCTGGTATCCCTGCCTCTCTCTAGATATTGGTTGAGCTGCTCTGATGTCAAGGATCATACATGAACACATTCCAAAATCTGGGAGAGGAAGTGTCAGCTGTAGAAAGCTGGACAACTTCTGTGAAGGAAGTCAAAGTTCATCCTAGTTTTTAAAACCACACGTTCTTCTGGGAATACAAGTGAGATTCAACGTTTTGAAGGAAGGAGGGAGAAACCCAGGCAGAAGAAGTTGAGAAAATACAGAGAGTCACAGGAAAGAAAATTTACTATCCATTCTTTTCCAGTAATGACACCCGACAACAAGGAAATACCATCTGGAGAATCTATTTATGAGTTCACGAGTTCTTTTACTGGCCTTGATTCCATGGTGTAGAGATATATGGGGTTGTTTTTTTTTGCATCCCAGTCATAACCAACAGGGAGTGGCTGTCTGATGAAATCTTAAGAGCTGAAGCGGAGGAGGGAGCTGAGAAAGCGACAGACTGTCGAGAAACTGGTTAGGAAAGAATTACAAGTAGACCTAGCTCTCTGTTCTTATATATCCTTTTACGCTCTTTAAAAAGCAGTGTGCAGTTCCTTAGGAAATGCATCGTTTCTTCATGCCCTCAAAAGGTTTTGAGCCAAGGCTGCATTATAAAACAGGAAAAAGCTGGACAAAGATGCCAGTACATGCAAACCTTCCAAGCACCCAATTTTGATTAATTAATAGTCTACCATCCCACTTTTCCAATTGCTTTGAAAATACTATTGCTATTGTCTAAGGCTTTCATGGCTGGAAACACTGGATTGTGGTAGGTTTTTTTCGGGCTATATGGCCATGTTCTAGAAGCCTGTCCTAGTTTCTCTGTAGGTCCTCATTAATATTTTTTCCATTGTAGTTCCTCATCAATATTTTTTTCCCATTGTGAGCACACTTTGATCATGCTCAGCCACATTCACCCCAGTTTTCATCTGTGAAATGTTGGAGGATGCATTCAACCTTAGGAAGAATAGAAAATGTCTTAGTCATTTGACTGTGGGACACAAGTATGAGGAGCCAGTGAGTTGCTGGGATAATTCTCAAAAGTGGGACACCATAGTGGAAAGATCCTCACCGGTTACCACATACTGAACTCGGAAGGGAATAAAACATCCAGAATCCACAAAAGGAAGACCAATGCAACACATCTGCTCTTTATAAGATGTTTGGAAGAGAACCTTTGAAACAAATTGCAAATAAAGGGATATAAGAGGACTACAAGGGAAGGAAGGTAGATAAAGGGCTCTTCCACACAGACATTTTACCCAAAATATCAAGGAAGAAAATCATAGAATCATAGAATTGTAGAATTGGAAGAGACCTCATGGGCCATCCAGTCCAACTCACTGCCAAGAAGCAGGAAAAATCCAACAATATCTGCTTTGAATTGAGTTTTCTGAGTCCACACTGCCAGATATCACAGTTCAAAGCCTATAAGGTGGGATTTTATTCAGCTGTGTAGAAGGGACCTTATAAGTAATGAAGGTAGGAGAAAGAACCAGAGGACATATCACTCAGGGCCCAGGCTCAAGAAAATGGCTGCTGGATATGATAGATTTTAGATAACATCAGGAGAATCTAATGATGAGAACTATTTGACTATGGAATAGATTCCCACAGGATGTGGAAGTTTCCCTTTGGTGGAGAATGTTAAGAAGCAGCTGGTTGGATAAGTGGCAGGTATCCCATAATTAATTGCACCCTGTATTGAACATGCGTTGCTTGTAATACATGATCTCCAATTCCCCTTCGAACTCTGTTAGATGTTCCCATCTCCTTATAACTACATCATCATTGCCTTGGCTGTCTATCCATTGCATGACTCACCTGTATCCCAGATCTTTTTCACTCTCGATCAGTCACACCTGTCTTAACAGCGCAAAAAACTCAAGCCTCTTTTCCTTTGAGCTGCCTTTCCTCATCCGCCGAGCTTGCTTGCTTGGTTGAGGCTGTGAAACAAGGAGGAGATCCAAATCCCAGAAAATCCAGAATAGCCAAGATATTTTGCAATTTGGACTGCCTGGGGGGAAAATGGGAGGTCCGCTCGCAAAAGAGGGAGAGGTATAATAAACAATAAACCACAGAAAGACAAATTGGCTGGTTGTCGGAGTTGTTGCTTTTTACTAAGAGAATCTGGTCCAAGATTATTTTTTTTTTAGTTTCAGAAATGATACACATTTGCCAAGACCTTTGGGGTGAATACATCTAGCATAAACAAAAAAGGGACTGTTTTGTTTTTCTAAGCAAAGAAGAGAACATCTGGAATTGATGAAGTTATGAAGTGCATTGGAAGAAGGAGTGAACATTAACAACCACTTTCAGCTTGTCTTTCAGCCAAACTAGGAAGATGTAGGTCATGCAGACCTGGACAGGGGGATAATTGCTGCACAGTTTGTAATTGGCATGGCTTTGGCCTGAGATGAGAACAATTCAGTGCTGGCAACTCTTTTCCTAAGCAGGAAACTTCCTAGCTCATTTCTCGCGGCTTCCATGATTTCTTAATGAAATTTGAATCTCATGATTACCATCTGGGCAATTGCCAGTTTCTCTTTCTCTGTTGTTTCCAGGCAATGTAATTGCTGGAAACCATATAACATGCCGTTCCTTTCAAGGCCAGGATGGGAAATGTTGGCCTTGCAGTTGTCATCCCAGCAGTATCATCCTTATGCCTTTGACCTTAGCACCTTTGAAACGTGGCCTTTTGTAAATTTGGGATGAAACAGGGTGCCTCTACACTTTAGAACAGCGTTTCTCAACCTGGGGGTCGGGACCCCTGGAGGGGTCACGAGGGGCTATCAGAGGGGTTGTCGAAGACCATAAGGAAACACAGGATTTTCTGTTGGTCATGGGAGTTGTGTGTGGGAAGTTTGGCCCAATTCTGTTGTTGGTGGGGTTCAGAATGCTCTTTGATTGTAGGTGAACTATAAATCCCAGTAAGTAATACTCCCAAATGTCAAGTCTATTTCCCCCAAACTCCACCAGTGTACACATTTGGGCATATTGAGTATTTGTGCCAAGTTTGGTCCAGATCCATCATTCTTTGAATCCACAGTGCTCTCTGGATGTAGATGAACTACAACTCCAAAACTCAAAGTCAATGCCCACCAAATCATTCCAGTATAAATCCGTTGGTCATGGGAGTTCTGTGTGCCAAGTTTGGTTCAGTTCCATCATTGGTGGAGTTCAGAATGCATTTTGAGTGTTGGTGAACTATAAATCCCAGTAACTATAACTCCCAAATGACAAAATCAATCCCCCTTCCAACCCCACCAGTATTCAAATGTGGGCATATTGGGTATTTGTGCCAAACTTGGTCCAGTGAATGAAGATACGTCCTGCATATCAGATATTTACATTACAATTCACAACAGTAGCAAAATTACAGTTATGAAATAGCACCGAAAATAATGTGATGGTCAGGGGTCACCACAACATGAGGAACTGTATTAAGGGGTTGCGGTATTAGGAAGGTTGAGAACCACTGCTTTAGAATGAATGCAGTTGGACACCACTTGTAATAATCTTAGCTCAATGCTATGGAATCAGTGGAGTTGTAGTTTGACAAGATCTTATCTTTAGTCTTCCCTGCCAAGACTGCTGGCAACTCAGAAAACTTTGCCTCCAGTGATACCAGAGCAAAGAAACATGGCAGTTGAAGTGGTAAATACACAACATTTGCTTCATGCACAAAATGATTCAAAATATTGTTTATACTCCCCCTCGATGGACTGTCACCTTGTCGTGGTGAGGGGGCTTGCGCGTTCCGATGAACCTGTAGGCACAACAACTGGAGTCGTGCACTCCCAGGAGTGGCCGCGGGGGAGGTTCCAGACCAAGCACAGTCCGAAGACCCAAAGACCTCAACGGAGCAGGCAGAGGATAACATGGCACATGTTACAACGGCTGCGAAGGCGGAAGAAGGCTGCAACAGACTGAGAAGCCACGGTCATTGTGTTAAACTACATCACCAGTGGAACCTCACTCTGTGAAGTCTGTGTGTTGATCAGTTGTGCACTGACCTCCACACATTAAAAAAACCCACGCACGGGCGTCTTCCAAAGAAAATAAAAACAAACCAACCAAAGTCCCATGGCGATCAGCGAGTGGCGACGGGGGCAGGACTGTGAAATCTGGAAGCCCCTAGTCACAGACTGGCACATAGGCGGTGGATATGGACTCAGTCATTCTACTTCAAGTTCTGAGGCAGTTGAGTAGTTGGGCAGCTGTATCCGCTGAGCAGCCCTATTGAGGACCACTCTGCTCACCCCACATGGGGAGGGGGCTAGAAAAGGTGCCCTAAACATAGTCTGCCTCACTTATCCCTGACTGGACTGCCGCGTCCAGTGGGGTCACCACCCTGCGGCCAAAAAAGGAAAATGAACTTCGGTACGTGGAACGTCCGGACTCTGATGGACAACAGCGGCAGTGAACGCCCCGAACGCAGAACTGCCATCATTGCAAGGGAGCTGGGATGCTTTCACATTGACATAGCAGCGCTTCAGGAGACCCGAAGAGCAGGAGAGGGACAGCTGAAGGAAGAAAAAGGAGGCTACACCTTCTTCTGGAAGGGACTGCCTGAAGAAGACCAAAGAATACATGGAGTTGGCTTTGCTATCAGAAATGATCTGGTGAAATGTCTGACCGAAGCACCCACTGGCATCAATGAACGACTCTCAACCCTCTGAACTGAACTTGCCCAAAACCAACAGGCAACCATCATAAGTGCCTATACACCAATACTAGATGCTGATGAAGACATCAAGGAGAAATTCTACTGTCAGCTGGACACCGTCCTATCAGGGATACCTAAGGAGGACAAAATCATCCTCCTGGGGGACTTTAATGCAAGAGTCGGGCGAGACTTCGACCTGTGGCCAGGGACCATAGGAAAAGACGGGGTTGGAAACAGCAACTCAAATGGCATCCTGCTTCTCACCAAATGTGCGGAGCACAACCTTGTCATCACCAACACGCTCTTCCGCCAGAAAAACAAGTTCAAGACATCATGGAAGCACCCCGGTCAAAGCATTGGCACCTCTTAGACTATGTAATCACACGTGCCAGAGACCGCCGTGACGTGCTCCTCACAAGAGCCATGACAGGTGCTGACGACTGCTGGACCGACCACAGGCTAATCCGATCCACGATGGCTATCAAGATCGCCCCCAAGCGCAGACTCCAAGGAAGGAAGACAAGGCGCAAAATGAACACCCAAGCCCTTCAGGAGCCCTCCAGACGAGCCCATCTCCAAACAGCACTCAAGGACCATCTACCCACAGTACACCCCGAAAATGTTGAGGAACATTGGAACAAACTGAAGACCTCCATCATCCAAGCCTGCGAAGAAACTATTGGATACCAAGCCAAGAAACATCAAGATTGGTTTGACGAAAATGACAACGAGATCCAACAGCTAATTGACAAGAAAAGGAAAGCCTTCCAAACATGGCAGAGAGATGTCAACTGTGCTGCTAAAAAAAAGATCTATGCCAGTGCAAAAGCTGAGGTCCAAAGAAGGACAAGAGAACTCAAGAACATCTGGTGGACAAAGAAGGCTGAAGAAATCCAACACCTGGCAGATACCCATGATGCTCAGGGATTCTTCAAAGCCACAAAGGTCATCTATGGACCAAGAAACCATGGGATACAGCCTCTACGCTCATCAGATGGAACCAAACTCCTGAAGGACCAAAACTCAATTGCACTACGTTGGAAAGAACACTACCAAAGCCTCCTGAACCGCAGCTCCAATGTGGCCGAAGAGGTCCTCTCACAAATCCCGCAACAACAAACCAGGGATGAGCTTGCAGCACTGCCTAGTTTGGAAGAAGTCAGCAATGCCATCAGCCAACAGAAGAATAACAAAGCCAGTGGACCAAATGGGATCCCTGCTGAAATCTTTAAAGAGGGAGGACCTGAGCTGACACACCAACTCCACCAGCTCATAGAAAAAGTGTGGGTGACCGAGAAAATCCCAGCAGATTTCAAGGACGCCACCATCATCACCCTCCTTCAAAAAAGGGGAAAGAACAGACTGCGGAAACTATCGAGGTATCTCCCTTCTAACCTCCGCTGGGAAAATCCTCGCAAGAATCCTTGCAAACCGCCTTCTGCCCCTCTCAGAAGACACCCTCCCAGAATCCCAGAATGGTCTTCCGCCCCTCCAGAGGAACCGTGGACATGATCTTCACTGCAAGACAGCTCCAAGAAAAATGCAGAGAACAAAATCAACCTCTGTACATGGCATTCATCGACCTTGCAAAGGCATTCGACACAGTGAATCGCAGCGCTCTCTGGACCATCCTCCAAAAAATCGGGTGCCCAAACAAATTTGTGAACATCCTGCAGCTCCTCCATGATGACATGATGGCAACAGTCCTAGACAGCAGTGGCTCCCAAAGTGACCCATTTAAGGTGGAATCGGGTGTCAAACAGGGATGTGTTATTGCCCCAACTCTATTCTCCATCTTCATCGCTATGATACTTCACCTTGTTGATGGGAAGCTTCCCACCGGAGTGGAAATCATCTATCGGACAGATGGCAAGCTATTCAACCTCAGCAGACTGAAAGCCAAAACCAAGGTTACAACAACAGCTGTTATAGAACTCCAGTATGCTGATGACAATGTCGTCTGTGCGCATTCAGAAGAAGATCTACAAGCCACTCTAAACACCTTCGCAGAAGCATGCGAGAAGCTCGGCCTGTCACTGAACATTGAGAAAACCAAAGTGCTGTTCCAGCAGTCACCAGCCAACCCCTCTCCAATGCCAGAGATACAGCTTAATGGTGTAACATTAGAAAATGTTGACCCTTTCCGCTACCTTGGCAGCCACCTCTCCACCAAAGTCAACATCGACACCGAAATACAACACCGCCTGAGCTCTGCAAGTGCAGCATTTTCCAGAATGAAGCAGAGAGTGTTTGAGGACCGGGACATCCGTAGGGATACCAAGGTGCTTGTTTATAAAGCTATTGTCCTCCCAACCCTGCTATATGCCTGTGAGACGTGGACTGTCTACAGACGTCATATGCAGCTCCTGGAACGTTTCCATCAGCGCTGCCTCCGGAAAATCCTGCAAATCTCCTGGGAAGACAAGCGGACAAACGTCAGTGTGCTGGAAGAAGCAAAGACCACCAGCATTGAAGCGATGGTCCTCCAACATCAACTCCGCTGGGCCGGCCACGTTGTCCGGATGCCTGACCACCGTCTCCCAAAGCAGTTGCTCTACTCCGAACTTAAGAACGGAAAACGGAACGTTGGTGGACAGGAAAAGAGATTTAAAGATGGGCTCAAAGCCAACCTTAAAAACTCTGGCATAGACACTGAGAACTGGGAAGCCCTGGCCCTTGAGCGCTCCAGCTGGAGGACAGCTGTGACCAGCAGTGCTGCAGAATTTGAGGAGGCACGAGTGGAGGGTGAAAGAGAGAAACGTGCCAGGAGGAAGGCGCGTCAAGCCAACCCCGACCGGGACCGCCTTCCACCTGGAAACCAATGCCCTCACTGCGGAAGAAGATGCAGAGCAAGAATAGGGCTCCACAGCCACATACGGACCCACAAGGAAATCCATAATGGAAGACCATCTTACTCGTCCAACGAGGGATCGCCTAAGTAAGTAAGTAAGAAGGTTTATCTATCGATATACATGATAAAAGTGAATTTATGTGTATACATGTGTGTGGCTGGGGTGTCCACTTCCACAGACAGGCTCTTGCTTCCACAGACAGCCTTAATGCACAGTGGGAGCCACCAAAAGCGCTCCCTCCAATGACATTTCAGGTTATAGTGAGGGCCATGAGCATGTAGCCCAACCCCTGTCAATGTCCTCCCCAAATACCATACTGCCCACCACCCAAGAATGATTTCATTCAAGGACAATTTCATTCTAGATTTTACATGTTTCCTCCACCACAGACATCCCAGTTTCTCGGCTGGAATTGCTGGGTTGTTGTAGGTTTTTCGGCCTATATGGCCATGTTCTAGAAGCATTCTCTCCTGACATTTCACCTACATCTATGGCAAGCATCCTCAGAGGTAGTGACATTTCGCCTGCATCTATAGCAAGCATTCTCACTACCTCTGAGGATGGATGCAGGTGAAACGTCAGGAAAGAATGCTTCTAGAACATGGCCATACAGCCCGAAAAACCTACAACATCCCAGTTTCTCTTACTCTCTCTATTGGTGTGGAATTTGCATGATCTCGTCCACTGCCTCTCCCTTAACCCTTCCCTACTCTTTTCAACTCTGTCAGCATAATAAACAGAGCCGAACTAATCATCAACTAAACATACTGGAGGGGTTTGGGGGATTGACTGCACATGATGGAAGTCATAGTTCACCCAGTATCAAGTCACATGTGGACCCCATTTGGCACACAGAACCCCCATAACCAAAGAAAAATACTGGAGAGGTTTGGGGGGAATTCACCTTGATTTATAGCCGTTGTAAGTACTGGGATTTATAGTTCACCTGCAATCAAAGAGCACTCTGCACCCTATCGATGATGGATCTGGACCTAACTTAGCACACAGAACCCTCATGACAAGCAACAAATACAGGAGGGCTTTGGGAAAATTCACCTAGATTTATAGGAATTATAGTTCACCTACATCCAGAGAGCATTGTGAACACGAATAACGATGGATCTGCACCAAATTTTGCACACATAACCAATATGCCAAAATTTGAATACTAGTAGGTTTCTTTGGGTGGGGTGGCCTTGACATTTGTTGTAGCCACTGGGATTTATAGTTCACCTGCAATCAAAGAGCACTCTGCACCCTATTGATGATGGATCTGGACCTAACTTGGCACACAGAACCCCCATGACCAACTGAACGTACTGAAGGGATTTGATGCGACTGACTCACCGTGGTGAGAGTTGTAATTCATCCTGTAGCCAGAGAGCACACTGAACCCACCAATAATGCATCTAGAGCAAACTTGCCCAACATGACAAACTTTAAGTACTGATGGATTTTCAGGGGGTTAATTTGGCATGATGCCTGTTGTAGAAGACCCACAACCTTATCCAAACCCCTAGTTTGAACCTAGTTTTGATCTCACATTGTTTGAGTTTTCTGGACTGTAAGGACAAATCATTACAAATATCCTAAATGTATTACTATATAAAATGGTTTGGAAACAACATTTCTATTGTTTAGCACACCCTTTACCTTATATGGCATTTTAATAGCAATATTATGGTCTTCTGGTTCAAATCCATTTTTACTGAACTAATTTCTTTACTTCAAGGTGATTCCTAAACCCTTGGTTACTCAAGAGTTGTGGAAATCAGTCTTGCTCTACATCAAGCTTGCACACAAAATTGTTACTTCACCTCAGGCCCAAGGTAGGAACGTGATCCAACATCCCAACCACCAACCGCTTTGTAGTGAGTCAATCAGACCCAGGGATAAAGTTTTCTGTTTCAGATTGAGTTTGATATCAATTTACCCAGCACCAACCACCGCTCTGAGCCAGAGTGAAGACAGGGGAGGCCAGGGGACAGTTCCACCTTGTCTCCTGTACTATGCTAATGTATAATATAATATAATATAATATAATCTCCAGCCTTGTTGTGGCCCTGGAGCTTGAGCACCTCAATGATGTCATGAGCAAAACCGTGAAGGGCCACCCAAGACGGGACGGTTGTGGCAGAGAGGTGAGACCAAGCGTGATCCCTGGGGAAGGCAATGGCAAACCACCCCAGTATCCTTGCCAAGAAAACTAAATGGACCAGTACAACCAGAGATATGTCGGTATGCCATTGGAAGATGGGACTCCCAGGTCGGAAGATGGCATCTTTGAAGTGACTGGACTGACCTTGAAGGAACTGGGGGTGGTGACGGCCGACAGGGAGCTCTGGCGTGGGCTGGTCCATGAGGTCACGAAGAGTCGGAGATGACTGAACGAATGAACAACAACAATATAATATAATATAATATAATATAATATAATATAATATATTGTATATAAATATAATATTTATAATATTATAATGTAATATGGTATAATACTAATAAAATAATATGATATTATAATTATATATATTTATATTACATGTAATATTTTAAACAAGCAATGCATGGAAGTGGAAGAAGACAACAGAATAGGAAGGACAAGAGACCTCTTCCAAAAAATTAGAATCATTGGAGGTAAATTTCAGGCAAAAATTGGCATGATAAGAAACAAAGATGGCAGGGACCTAACAGAAGCTGAAGAGATCAAGAGAAGGTGACGAGACTATACAGAAGATCTGTATAGGAAAGATAATAATATCGAGGATAGTTTTGTCAGTGTGGTGAGTGAATTAGAACCAGACATCCTGAGAAGTGAGGTTGAATGGGCCTTAAAAAACAACACTGCTAACAACAAGGCAGCAGGAGACGACGGGATCCCAGCTGAACTGTTTAAAATCTTGAAAGATGATGCTGTCAAGGTGATGCATGCTATATGCCAGCAAATATGGAAAACACAAAAATGGCCTTCAGATTGGAAAAAAATCAACTTATATCCCCATTCTCTCCTGACATTTCACCCACATCGATGGCAGGCATCCTCAGAGGCTATGAGGTATATTGGAAACTAGACAAGGGAGGTTTGTTTATCTGTAGAAGGTCCAGGGTGGGAGAAAGAACTCTTCCAATCTCTGTGTGTCTTGGAACAGTTTCTCCCTGTAGGAATGTCCAATGTATTGTTGAAGGCTTTCATGGCCTGAATCACTGGGTTGCTGTGAGTTTTCTGGGCTGTATGGCCATTTTCCAGAAGCATTCTCTCCTGACATTTTGCCCACCTCGTTTTGCCCTAGATGTGGGCGAAACCTCAGGAGAGAACGCTTCTGGAACATGGCCATACAGCCTTGAAAACTCGAAACAATCCAATGTGGATACTGTTTGAGGGAGAAAATACCTTTATGACACATCCAAGGGGCTCTTGGTTATTAAAAATCCCAAGGAATGAGAGTCCCCTTTCATCTTTATAAAGACATAGGTTAAACATTTTAAGAGTTCAGATTTTCAGGGCATCTTGCCCAACTTAATTGCAGATTGATTGAGCTATAGCGACCATCCCCTGCAGATAACAAAGTGCAAAGCATTTCAACATAGTGCCAAGCATTTCAACAATCCCAAAATGAACTGATTAGTTGGGGTGGGATTTAAACTGTAAGAGGCCCTCTTAGCAGTAAAGTTCTTGCAGCACCTCTGTGGTTTTCTGTTATGAAATTAGCCCTGTTCAATTTGATGGATTACTTCATATTTTGAGTGTGATGACATGGGGGCTCCACTTTCTTTTACCAGTATGTGCCCCTCCCCAAATCAAGAAAGTACTTATATAATGGGCTTGTTGAAAGCGAGTAGAAGGACTCCAAGGAAGACTTCCAACTTGATCTCTTTTTTCAACACCAGGTTTCAACCAGTAAAGGTATGTGGAGAATATGATCATCGTTGCTACTATATTGGGTTGACTGCTTTTGTGTATCATTGGTAAAGTATAGGTAAGAGACATTAAATATGGGATTAGAGTACATCTACACTGTAGAATGAATGCAATTTGACACCATTTTAACCATCTTGGCTCAATGTTATGGTATCATGACTGTTGTAGTTTTGAAAGGTTATTTGCCTTCTCTACCAAAGAATAATGGAACCTTACCAAATTACGAATCCCTGAGTGGTGTCAACATGTATTAACTATATAGTGTAGATAAATGATTTCCAACCTTTTTTTTTTTTTTACAAGGGACCACCTTGACCAGGAACCACTCTCCAACATTAGCACCAAAAGGGTTACAAATCAGGTTTTGGCCAACTTTAGATTTAGTTTGAGTATTTGGGGTGCTGATTCAGAAAATTGCATTGGATAGACCATATCAGCTCTAGTTTTAGGGACAGAACATATGCCATCCAGTAGTTGCCTACATAAAACCATATTTAATAAGCCTCAACAGTATAAGAAGATTTCGCGAGACCAGTCACTCTTGTTGCAATGGTGTAGTAATGGTGAGGCCACAGACCATATTTTAGTTCTTGCAGACCACTTGTGGTCCACGGACCACAGGTTGGGAACCACTGATGTAGATGCACCCTATTCCTGTTACTCTCATGTATTCGGAAGAAGTGTGCATTTTGATATATCAAAACCCCTTTCTGTCTGTTTGAGAATATTTGTGGATATTCTTACCTCTGCAGGTTAGGATTTATGATCCTCTGTGAGAATTTTGATCTAATCAACTATAGTAAGTTAGAACTGTTCTTTCTTTGAACAGTCAGTCTTCCAAATTCATTGAAATCAAGGGCATTGGACTACTGTGAAAGTGAAAAATGGCAGATGTGAATGTTGTTGTTTTCTATCTGGTAATTTCTAGGTCTTCCAGAATGGCTCCATGGTCAACCTCTCCTAGAAGTTGGCCATAAAATTGCTTTGGAGGACCTAGAGATTTCTAAAATGTTATCTCTAGAAATCTCTACTATGATTGGAGAAAGCTGATCATAACATCACACTGGAGGATGTAGATATTCCAAGAGACATCCTTTTAAAACAAATTCATGAATAATCAAATCCTCAAAAGTCAAAAACACAACTGCAGTGTGTGTTGCAAAGCTTTGAAACCCATTGCAACTGCTATGTTGTTAGCTATGGACTGGATCCATCAATTGTCCCTCTCATATTGGCGTGCAATGGATGGATCTACACTGCCATATAACTCCCAAGACTCCGTATCATTAAACCAGTGGTTCTCTACCTGTGGGTCCCCAAGTGTTTTGCCCTACAACTTCCAGAAATACCAGCCAGTTTACCAGTTGTTAGGATTTCTGAGATGTTGAAGGCCAAAACATCTTGGAACCCATAGGTCAAAAACCACTGCATTAAACCATGCTAGTTAAAGTGGTGTTAAAGTGGCGTCAAACTGCATTAATTCTACAGTGGTGTCCAACCTATGGTCCTCTAGGTGCTTTGGACTTCAGCTCCCACAATTCCTAACAGCTGGCAAGCTGGCTGAGATTTCTGGGAATTGAAATCTAAAACACCTGGAGAACAAAGGTTGGGAACCACTTGGCTAGATACATGATAAGGTAAAGGTTTTTCCCTGACATTAAGTCTACTTGTGTCCAACTCTGTGGGTTGGTGCTCATTTCCATTTCTAAGGCTAAGAGCCAGCATTGTCCGTAGACACCTCCAAGGTCATGTGGCCGGCATGGCTGCATGGAGCACCATTACTGCTGGAGTGGTACCTATTGATTTGAATGTTTTCACACTGCTAGGTTGGCAGAAGCTGAGGCTTACAGTGAGAGCTCACGCCGCTCCCCAAATTTGAACCTGCAACCTTTCGGTAAGCAAGTTCTGTAGCTCAGTGGTTTAACCCACTGTGCCATCGGGGGGTTCCAGGCACAGATTTCAAAATGCATTAATCCTTTCTACAATCATGTACATTCAAATGCCAGCATAATGCACCCAATCACACCATGGAAATCAGATATTCTCTAGTTTAGTGATTCCCAACCTTTGGTCCTCCAGTTATTTTGGACTTCAAGTCTCAGAAATCCCAGTCAGCTTACTGGCGATTAGGAATAGTAGACCTGAAATCCAAAACACCTGGATGACCAAAGGTTGGGAACCACTATTCCAGTCAACCCAGTCCTGAGACAATCAGTCCCAGAACATGCTGCTAAGAACTTGCAAAGAGAAACACATATTATTTTTGAATTATTTCAAGACAAATATCTCCCTCTGCTGGTAAACAAATCCTTTCACATAGCCTCTACTTTATTTTCTCCAGGTGCCTTTTTGGCCTGGCAGATCTGACCATGAATTTCAAGGGATCTGGCCCCGTTCTCTTTGTGCTCCTGGCCGTGGTGTTCATCGTTGGGACCTATGCCGCCGACTACCAGACCTTCCTAAGACAGCACTACGACAATCCCAGAAGCAACGTGGGAAACCGCTACTGCAATGCCATGATGCAAAGACGTGGCATGACCAGACCCCAATGCAAGTCGGTCAACTCTTTTGTCCATGGCTCCAAGAGACAAATCACAGATGTGTGTGGCAGAGCGGGGAAACCATTTGGGAACAACTTACGCCGTAGCAATAGGCAATTCTCTGTTACCACCTGCAGGCATATCGGGGGATCCACCCGTCCGCCCTGTAACTACAGAGAGAACAGGTCAAATAGATATATTGTCATTGCTTGCAGAGATAGAAGGCCTATACACTTTGATGAAGGCCAAATCTAAGATGACAGCTGTGCTGTATATTTCCAGAAATTCTCCTGCATTGCAAAATTACTATTCCCCATCCTGCTCTAAAATTATGCTATCCTCCTTCCCTACATCTATTGTGAGGAATGTACTTATGGAATGTTCAGCTCACTGCTAAGCTAAAAGCAAAGCAAATAGTTGTTCTTTTGGCCATTGTTATGTGGAAATAAAAAAAAATCTGTTAATAAAACTGAATTTGAATTTATTACACTCCTAGCTTGTTTACCCAGCATTGCCCAGGTTATTTGAAAAAGTCATTTTTAAAAATTTTACGAAATGTATAAGGTTGTGTGTGAACTACAACTCACCTCATGCCAGGTTAAACCCCTGAAACCCCACCAGTAGTTAAAGTTTGTTTGCTCTAGATGCAGCATTGGTGGGGTTCAAGGTGATCACCGGCTGCAGCATAAACTACAGCTCCCACCATGGTGGGTCAGTCCCTTCAAATTGCTCCAGTAGGTTCCGTTGGTCATAGGGGTTCTGTTTGCCAAGTTTGGTCCAAATCCGTCATTGGTGGTGGTCACAATGTCTCTGGATGTAAGTGAACTACAACTTCCAGAAATGAAGATCAGTTCCCCCCAAACCCCTCCAGTATTTTCAGTTGGTCATGGTGGTTCTGTGTGCCAAGTTAGGTCCAGGGGGGGTCCAGAGTGCACATCAACACATCTTTGATTTAAAGCTTATCAGTGGAAGGATTGACTTCTTCCCTATCCCACCAAGCAGGACTTCTAGAATGCCACAGCATATCAAATGTTGAAGTGAAGTACTGTGAACACATCTATACTGAGTAAATTGCTCCAGTGTACATTTGTACTGGTATTGTCAAAATCAAACTCCCAAAATGATAAACCCCGAAGTCTGCGACCCCATAAGGATGAATTAGGGTGCCCATACAGACCTCACCAACCTTTAGTTTTAGAGTTATGCTCATTAAACCTCCCTGGAATGTTGCACACACGTTGCACACAGCTAGGAACTCAGGGGATGACGACACCTTAGCACAATCCCCCGGGCTGACACATAGAACACAAAATGGACTTACAACAGAGTCACTGAGTCTTTTTTTGGTTTTCCCCTGATATGATCTGCTTTGATCCGGAGAACATCTCCTCATCTCTATCACCAGATTGGACCCTTCCCAGGAGTCCCCACTGAGATAGCCAACATCTTTAGCACCCTTTTGTTTACCTGACTGGTACCCATTGTATTAACTGGAGCTGGCACATCAAAACCCATTTTAGCCCATTATCTCTAAGCCCACCACATTCCTTTCTGATTGTGCCCCTCTCTGGGGCAGAGCAATGAACAGACACAAGTCTTCAAAATACTCCAATGATATGTATTGTCGAAGGCTTTCATGGCTGGAATCACTGGGTTGTTGTAGGTTTTTTCGGGCTATATGGCCATGTTCTAAAAGCATTCTCTCCTGACGTTTCACCTGCATCTATGGCAAGCATCCTTAGAGGTAGTGAGCTACCTCTGAGGATGCTTGCCATAGATGCAGGTGAAACGTCAGGAGAGAATGCCTTTAGAACACGGCCATATAGCCCGAAAAAACCTACAACAACCCACTTCAATGACAGTTTATTAAATTTCCCGCCATGGCCAGGACAAACCAGCAATTATGTTGAATGGAGTCCCGGACCAACCAGGGAGCATATCCTAGTTGGCCATGTTTTGGACTAATCAGAATCCAGCTTGGTATTGTCAAAGGCTTTCATGGCCAGAATCACTGGATATTTTTGAATAGCTGTCGAAGTTGTATCAATAAAACTGTATGTTTGCAATTATGGTTTTTCAGTTCTTTGAGAGCACAGTCTCTGCTGACTTCTTATTTGGCATTGAGAATAAAGCCTCTGATGTTGCCTCCAACCCATTTCCATCTCATCTCACACCAGGCTCCAAACCCCATGATTTCAGAAGCTGAAATCACATAACACCGGAGCAGCCCTGGATCTGAAATGTATGTGCTGAATCTGCGACTGGTGTCCAGAACCAGATGGGCTTGGACATCGCCTCATCTCGTGTCTTGCCACAACTGCTCCCTGCTGATGACAGAGAACTGTGTAGCCAGAAAGGAGTGGGTCAACTGACCTCTCATTTGCTGGTTTCATGGGTTGTTGATATGAACAGGTGTTACAACTTGGTCCAGGTGCTCACACAGAGCTTCATGGCCAGCAGAAGGTAGTGGTGGCCACATGAGGATGAGTGATCCCTTTCCCATATGCTTAACATCACAGAGAAAGGATTATGACTATTGTGTCTTTCTGGATAGGGTTGAGCTAAAACCTGATCTAACTGTCCACATAGTCTCAGGAAATCAAGAATGTCGAAAATTCAGTTAAAGCAAGATCTTTCACAAAGATCCAGATACACCTTTACATTCTTCCTCCTAATCTTGTGAAATTCCATCATTCACTTGCATGATTACAGATAAACCAAGAGGAAAGTACTAGTTGGTGCCTAAGCAAGGCAAAGCTTCATTTTATTGAGGCCAAAAGGCACTTAAAACTAGATACAAATGGAAGCAAATCACCTCAACTAGAAGATAGAGTGGAAAACAAGGTATTGCCATGAATAAAAGGGGAATAATAATAATAATAAGAAGAAGAAGAAGAAGAAGAAGGAGAAGAAGAAGAAAAGAAGAAAAGAAGAAAAGAAGAAAAAGAAGAAAAAGAAGAAAAAGAAGAAAAAGAAGAAAAAGAAGAAAAAGAAGAAAAAGAAGAAAAAGAAGAAAAAGAAGGAGACCTTATTTGTAACCCATCCTATTTCCCCAGGGGTTAATAAGAATCCATGGGGCTCAATGATGGCCGATATGGGATTATTCATCCTTCTATTTTTCTTAAGTCTTGAATAAAGTTGATGACCTAAAAGTCCAAAATCCAGTCAGAATATTTCAAGTGAGGTGAAACTAGATGGGGCTCCACTCCTCCTTTTCCCTGTAAGGAAAATATCAGGAATATTTAAAATATAAGTAGGGGTGGTGCAGAAAGCCAGAAAGAAAGGCTGAGATCCCAATTAAAGAAAACTCAAGATCTGCATTTGGACAGAGATAAAATTATTCATAAATATACAATTAAGAGGCAGCATGGTGAGAACCAGTGTGTTGTAATGCTTGAGTGTTGGACTACAACTTTCAAGGACAGGCTTTGCATCCCCTTCTCGGCCATGGAAACCCCTTTTCCTTTGGATGCCTACGCTATATCTCAACGGATATGCCACATTATTGTAATGTTAGAAATACAGGGATAGAAGCACATTCCACTGGGGGAAGAAGAATTATTACTTTGAGAGTTCAATAAATACAACTCTGCTGCAGATTCAAGTAAATTTGTATTGTTGCTGAATTAAGTTATCTTATCGAGTCTCCCAGTATTTAACTGGAGTAATATATCATATCCAGCGAGCTGGAAGGAGGGACTCAAAATAGAGAGTCGGCAGAAAAAGAAGAGCATCAAAAATCAAGCATCATAGAAATTCCCAATTTTCAATGTTTACTGCAAACTACCATGGATATCTCTGAGCAAAATGCAGTTTAAAAAAAGAAACAAACCTTCTAAATATCTAAACAAGATAGCAAAATGCTTGCGAGGGAGACCCTGTGGACAGAGTTGTTGTTGCAGTAGAGTGTGCTGGTCGTTACAACTGGTAGTAGAAGAGGAAAGAGGGCTGCTCAGGTGTTGGAGCAGGAGCAGCAAAGGAAGCGAATTAGGGAGATATTCATTACACCTACAGATACTGACTCGTTTGAAGGCTTCTCAGATTCTGAAATGGAGGAGGAGGGAGATGGGGGTAGAGGTATAAAGCGGATTACTCGGGAGCAAGAATCAGATGAAGAACATGAAAGGAAATGTATCTGTGAAATACTTAATGCTCCAACTGAGGAGGAAGATTTTATGGGGTTCACAGGGAGTGATGGGACTGGGAGTATTGATGAAGAGGAGGATGGGCTGGATTGGACCCGTGTGCAGGAAATCAGAGAAATATGTACACAACCAACATCTAGTGATGAGTTTGAAGGTTTCTCTGGGGATTGGCAATGTGGTAATACATGGGGAGATCTAAATCTTGATAGAAGATGGAAAAGTTGGAGAGACGGGCGGTGGCGATCAGCTTTGGAAGCTAAGGCAGCTGAGAGTGATGAAGACAGGATGGAGTGCAGTTCATCATCTGATAATGAGTTATAGGATAAAAGTAGGTATCACACTATGGGGACTTCGCAGTAGGCAAAATGTTGTATTCATGCTTGGGACTTCGTTGCTGCCATTACTCTTGAGCTTGGGTCCTGGAACTGCAGGTTGCTGTATCTCCGTGCTTCTACTGACTGGAATCTCGTAAGTGCTGATTTCTACTTCCCCTCTGACTTCGGATTGTTTTTGGATGATGACATCGCATTTTGGACTTAACCATCTTCTTCTGGATGTGCTTTGACTTGGGACTGTTTTTTGATGACGATTTTGCTTGCTTCTACCTTGTTTCCTTGTGTTTACTGAACTCTGTGTTTTTGAAGCAATTTGCTAGAACTTTTTGTTATCCCGGATTATATTAAAGTATAATCCGGATTATCTGCTAAATTACATTTTTTTGCACAGCAGTTTGCAGTTTGAGTTAAGTGTTTCTAAGCTATTTTTGTTGTGCTAATAAACTTTGTTTGGACCTTTTCTTTGTGTCTGGCTCCTTTAAGGCATCTGGTTCACGACAGTTGTCCCAAGACTTTTGATGCCTGAAGTAAAGAACTAGATATTGCTGCCTTCCTATTCTATGTGCAAAAGCTAATAGGGCTGTTAACCCTATTTTCAACACAGGGCCCTTCCACACAGCCATATAACCCTGAATATCAAGGCATACAATCCCACAATATGTGCTTTGAACTGAGTTATCTGAGTCCGCACTGCCATATATATTCCAGTTCAAAGCAGGAAATATGGGATTTTATCCAGCTGTGTGGAAGAGGCCACTGATGATGAAAATGCCATTTCTACCATACTTGAAGAGGCAGGTTACCTTCAGGGCTGCAGGACATTCTCCTCCAAGACTTTGCTGTCACCTTCTAGCATCTTCTGTCTGAGGCAATGACCTCAATTAGCCTATTTACCACCAGCCATCTCTGATTTCCATCTTGGAGAAATGGTGGATGTGCTTTTCAACAGCCTGATTAAATAGCATCACAAAATGTTCGTAGCTATAAGACTGCAAATCATAGCTTTAATTTTTTGGAATTCCTAGGATGCATATGGATACTACTAAGTGAAGAAGATACCCTTTTGACATGTCCAGAGGCCCCCCAAAATCTGAGAAACCCAAGGAGCAAGAGTCACCTTCCTACTTTGGTGGGAAGATAAAATGTTCTTTAGGAACACAGAAGCCTTCCTTACAGCTGAATCAAATCCCACACTATCTGCTTTGAACTGGAATATATGGCAGTGTGGTCTCGGATATAATAATAATAATAATAATAATAATAATAATAATAATAATAATAATAAAACTTTATTTGTACCCCGCTACCATCTCCCCAAGGGACTTGGTGCGGCTTACATGAGGCCGAGCCCACAATACATCAATACAAGCAATAACAACAACAATAAAACAATTAAAATAAAACTCATAAACAAAAAAGCAATTAAATGACAATAATACAACACACATTTAAAATCTATGGCTGGGCCAAATGTAATTAAAGTTAAAAAAATAATGCTAGGCATGAACATGATAGGAGAGGTGGGGCGTTGGTGAGAGCATGCAACAATCCTAAGTCAGTGTAAAGTGCATTTCGAGGGCACAATGCTGAGAGTTCATTATTCTGGGATATCTCAGATATCCCAGTTCAAAGCAGATATTGTGGGATTTTCTGCCTTGGTATTCTGGGTTATATGACTGTGTGGAAGGGCCCCAGATTTTCAGGACATTTTGGACACTCTTGGCCAACCTGTTGTCATCACTCCAGACAGGCTGAGCTACAACTCCCATCCTATACAGATTGCATAACTGAATAGTGGGAATTATGAGAGTTCAAATCCCAAACATTTCAACAATTCAAAACTTGAGGCCACTTAAACTGCAAGAAGTGCTCTTAAAATAATCTTGGGTCATCTATGAGGTTTTCTGTTGTGAAATTGGTCCTGTCCTGTCCTACCCATTACTTCCTTATGTGATTGTGGTGAGGTGGCAATCTCAGCTTCCTCTTACCATCATGTACCCCTCCGCATACTAGCAAAGTATTTATATATCAGGTCTTTTTCCAAGTGTGGAAAGACTCCAACCAACACTTCCTACTTTATCTCTACTCCATGGTGGCGACGTGTGTTTCCCTCATCTATACTTTGAATTGATTTCCTTTTCAAGACCAGATTTGGGTGAGTAAAGGAATATGGAGAATATTATAATCTTTGCTTTTGTACTGAGTAGACCCAATTTCTGTTTGCAATGAGTAAAAGAAGGAGGACAAACTAGTGTCCCCTTTTCAAGATTGACCCTGCACCAGGTGGGAAAAGGCTGTATCTCTCCCCTGTATCCTAGCTCTGATTTCATTTCTATACTATTATATAAAGACTATCCCCTTTGCTTTTATTTTTTTTCTCTCCAGGTGTCCTTTTGGCGTGGCAAAGTTGACCATGCATTTCAAGGGATCTGGCCCCATCTTCTTTGCGTTCCTGACCTTTGCCTTTATCGTTGGGACCTATGGTGCCGACTATGAGACCTTCCTAAGGCAGCACTATGACAACCCCAAGAGCAGTGTCGGAAGCAATTACTGCGATGCCATGATGCAAAAACGTGATCTGACCAAACCTCAATGCAAAGAGGTGAACTCCTTCATCCACGAAACCAAGAATAACATCATAGATGTATGTGGTAATGGAGGGGAACCTTATGGGGACAGGTTGCGGCGCAGCAAGAAACAGTTCTCTGTCACCACCTGCAAGCTTAAGGGAGGCTCGACCCGTCCACCTTGTAACTATAGAGAGAACAAGTCAGAAAGATATATTGTTATCGCTTGTCGTGATAAATTGCCTGTACACTATGATGAAGGTCTGATCTAAGATGACTTCTATGTTCAAAATGCCTCAAAGGAGAATAATGAAAAAATAACATGGAAATTCAATAATAATAATAATAATAATAATAATAATAATAATAATAATTTAAAAATCAAACAAAACCACTTTCATTTAATTCTCCATTTCTGTGCCTTCATTTTCACTTTTTCTATGTAAGTTCAAAAAGCTTCAAAAGATTTGAACACTATCATTTTGGGCTTTGCTTCATTTCTTAAACCATGTGTAATCTGCTAATCATTGAAATATAACCACTGCAAATTATTTTAATGGTGTGGTGTCTCATTTTATAGTTGGGTTGTTGCTTCTCTCTCCCGGCCTCGTTTTATTATATTTCGTTCTCCAAATATGGGATGATATGTGTGACACAACTTGCTATGTTCCTTTCATGTTACCCACCCTAGCGCTTCTGACTATTTGAGGATCAACCAGGAGAATGACTGTCTGACTCCTCCCCACTCCCCAAGAAAAGATGATAATATTCTCTATATATTTTTACTCACCTAAATCTGGTTCTGCAAAGGAGATCAAGTCAAGTCAAAGCAAAGATGAGGGAAACACACATCGCCACCATGCAGGGCTTCTAAAATGGCATAGCATATCACATTTTGAAATGAGGAACTGTGAATGCATTCACATCATCAGGTAGATTAAAACAACAACAACAACAATGAAATAATACAAAATCCAGCATATATATCTCGTTTGCTGTGTCATACTGTGTTTTTGTGTCATAATAATAATAATAATAATAATAATAATAAACTTTATTTATAATATTCCACTCTATCACCCCAAGGGGACTCAGGACAGATTACAGAACATATATGTGGCAAACATTCAATGTCATTATCCAATTAACAAGGACAGACAATACATAAACAGAGGTAAAGGCTTTCCCATCTTTTCCATCTCTGGCATCTGGAGGTTGTGCTTGACTCTGGCCAAGAAGTAGTGCTGTTGCTTCATCTTCCATGCAGCTTTGTTGTCTATAGATGTCCTCCCAATCGAATTGCCAGCATGTTCTTATGGGCGCCATTTATTACCGCCCCACTAAAAACAGTAACTATTTATTGACTCACATTACTGTTTTTGATCTGCAAGTGGACAGAAGTTGGGCTGATGGCGAGAGCTCACCCTAACCTGGACTTGAACTGCCAACCTTTCAATCAGCAATATTTTTTACTGCTGGCAGTTTAACCAGCTGTGCTAAAGCAGCGATATTTTTCCTGGAGCAGCCCTGGATCCAGCATGTATGTATTGAATCTAGGGCCAATATACAGATGGTCCAGATTGTTTGGGTTTAAATGGACATCGCCTCATCTTGTGTGTTGTTGCCACTGCTTCCAGCTGACCACAGAGCTCTCTGTATAACCAGCAAGTGTAGATGCATCCATAGTTCCTAAAGAGAGAATTGGCAGTATTTTTCTATCCAGTATGCATGAAGAAGAAAGTTTCCTACCTGAGTGCAGGGAAATGTTCGTCTTCTCTGTTGGGGTGCCAATTTATCACTCAGTTAGCCCTGATGTCATTTTACAAATTGTATAACAATATTTACATTGCTGAAGGAAGTTACTATATAAATATATTTTTAAAAGAGATAAAACCTAATTGTATTTGCCAATTCCGCTTTCAGTTCAAAACAAAGATCCAAATTGTTGCACTCCAGGTCAGGAAGAGCCCTCTGACTTTAAAACACACCACACAAAGAGTGAAGAAACAAATCTTTTTTTAATTGAAGCTTAGTAAGTCGCCAGAAGAAATAAATGCTTGTAAGAAAATGAGAAAGTTCCAAAAAGTAGTAAGTCCATAAAAGGTAGTAACACCAAGCAATGTCCACACCAGAGATATCCAAGACAGCATAAATCCAAACAGGAATGAACAGGATGCAAAGACAATCCAAAAGGCTAAAAAAACTCCACAGGAACAAGACCCCTTGAACAGGATTTCCATGACACATGAACTTGATTTCCAAACGATGCCTCATCTAACAGGTTTTCCCTTGAGGCAAACTTTATATCCCAAAACTCAGAAATTGGTTTTGCTTTCCCCCACATTTACCCCTTATCAGCCGAAGCCTTCCAGTATTTCTATCCCGCCCATATCAGCCCTGAGTCGCCTTCAGGCTGATATGGACAGGACAGAAATAGCATAAATTCAGAGCACGGAGTTTGCTGTCGATCCTGGCTAATCTCCAGCCGCCTATTTTTCAGCTCCCTATCTGGCTGCTCATTAAAATTCCAGGTGTCAGATTGTTTTCCAAACCCAAATCTTGAGAGCTCATAGAAAGAGGGAGTGAACCATCATTGCTAGGCTCAGCAGGGATATTCTCATGAGAAACTGCCCTTTGCGCTGGGGCCTCTCTGTCATTGTCTGCATGAAAATCATTGACCAAACCATCTCCCTCTTGTACCTCAGCCTTGGCACCATCATTTCTCTCATCATTTCCCTCATCATTTCCCACATCAGGATCCTGAAACACAAACACAGGCTGATTCTCAACACAAATACTCAAACAGAAGTGAAAGGACAATCCACAACTTCTACAAAGTCTATACCTCACCAGCATGATTTATGGGAATCCTACAAATAATGTAGGCATTTTTTTTCACATCTTTGATAGAGGACCCAGACATCGTGTATTTCAGAGCTGGTTTTATATACAGTTAATAATTTCCTTTATCTATTTGGAGACCATTTTGCAGTGACAACAAACAATGAAGAAAGCAAAATGTCAGAAGATGGTTCAAGAGATCATTTGCAACAGAATAGGAAGGATTGTAGAGTAAGGATTATCCATATAAAGAGGGCAAGAAGAGGTTTCTGAGATGTGTAAACAGTGACTGCAACTGATTTGGATACGTCAGCTATATTATGGACCTTGGAAGAAGCTCTGGAGTTATGGGTAGAACTGATGAGGGCAGACACTTCCGAGAACACAATTATTTCAAAGAAGATGGGTCCTGATCTCTTGAAATTTATGTCCTGGCAAAAGAGCTCTCTGGGTGAAAAAATATAGTCTGCTGTTCATGGAACAGTTGGAGAAAAATGGATTTCCCTATTCAAACTTTCAGATGCATTTTAAAATGTCCGGGAAACTATCCTATACTCATGTATAAGACATTTGGTCAAAAAATTGACCCCAAAAGCTTGCTCAGTGCAAATACTGTTCCTAAATCCCCTTTCCATGAAATGACACTTGATTTATTTACAGTTCATTTTTCTCCCCATGTCAGGAGTGACTTGAAAAACTGCAAGTTGCTACTAGTGTGAGAGAATTGGCCATTTTGAGTTGCCCAAGGGACGCCCAGATGTTTTGATGTTTTACCATCTTTGTGGGAGGCTTCTCTCATGTACCCGCCTGGGGAGTTGGAGTTGACAGAGGGAGCTCATCCGCGCTCCTGGATTCGAGCCTCCAACTTGTCAGTCTTCAGTCCTGCCAGCGTAAGCTTTTAACCCATTGCGCAACAGGGGGCTCCAACAGTTCATACTAAAACCCATATTTTGTGCCCCCCAAATCTGCCCTCAACTTATACATGAGGTCAACTTGTGCATGAATATATATATTACATGACCCCCCC